AGAGAAAGACAATACCACAATTAGCAAATAGAAAGCCTGTAAAACTTTCTGATTAGGGTTTGATGAATTTGATAATTTGATAAATGAAGATAATTAAAATGTAAAATAAATACAGTTGTGTAAAAAGTCCAGAGAGTTTGCAGTTAAGATAGATCATGTTATAGATCAATTAAAACAATTACAAGGTCAAATAAAATATAGTTATATACCAAACAGAGATTGGGAGGTTTAAAGATTAAGTGGTTATTGATTTATAAGGAGGGTTGCAGGACTCAAGTGAACTAAAATAGTATCATCTGATACAATTTTTTTACGCTACCCAAATCTTACCACTAGATTATTTTTCAGATTAATATTCTACACAAAAAAACAAAAAAACATTATAAGCTTATACATTGTTAAAAATGAATCCTGGACTTCCCAACCTTTATGGTTTGTGATGCCTTAAAAAAAGTTGGGGTCTCCTGGGGTCTGATGTTTCTGATGTCTATGAGTTGTTATGAGTTTTTCTAAACTTAAATTATACAATATTTCACAGAAACACAAAGAAAAGTAAAAACAAAAAAACAAAAAAACAAAAAAACAAAAGAAAAAAACACACTTGTGCATCAGAACTTAAAACACTACTTTTAGTTTTGATACTTAAAATACATTTTGCTGATAATTCTTCTGTAGTCTTACTGAGGTAGGATTTTGATTGAAGGGTTTTTACATGAATATAAAAATGTAAAGTAATGGTGCACTTCCTAAAAGCCATAGAAAACATGTTACATTTTCAGATAAGTGACCTCTACGTGGCGCACCAGCTTTTCGGCCTCACAGAAACAGAGGCAATTTTTCTGGGATATGTGCCCTGGGATGGGGTTCTTGGTCTGGCCTTTCCTGGCATGTCATTCGAGGGAAGCACACCTTTATTTTACAACCTGTGGAACCAGGGAAAACTCCCTCAGAACATGTTCTCCATGTACCTGAGCAGGTGAGGTCCCGAACAGAGAAATAATGCTGAAAATCAAAAGCAAAATTTACTGTCTCATGTACAAGATGATGTTTTCATGAATGACGCAGTGCTCCTTTTGTTAAAAAATATCTCTTTGTCAGTTCTGTGGAGGGCAGTATGTTAATTCTGGGAGGAACAGATCCCACATATTACACTGAAAGCATAAAGTGGATCCCACTTTTCCGCGCCACTAACTTTTGGAACATCCACATCCAAAGGTAGATTCCTCATAATAAATGTCCATGTTGTGTTTTAAACAACGTAACTCTTCCTCTAAGTATTGCCTGTGATGTACATAACGGATGCATTTATGACTTCCTTCATGTTGCAGCATCACCATCAATGGGAACACGGTTGCATGCTCTGCAAGCTGTGAAGCGATAGTAGACTCTGGTACTTCTGTAATCATCGGCAGCTACAAAGATATCAACAACATCAATGGCTGGTTGGGTACTTTCCCAGATCAGAATGGGAATGTGAGTGTTTTGAATGTTTTACTTTTAGCGAGTGTGATATTAAATATGTTAAGTGAACTGTTCTGTGGTTCAAAAAGGTAACATTTTGCTGTCTGTCTGTCTGTCTGTCTGTCTGTCTGTCTTACAGGCTGCTTTAAGCTGCACTAACACAAATCAGCTGCCAGACGTTGTGTTCAACATAAACGGCTACAGCTTCGCTCTTCCTCCATCATCCTATGTCATGAAGGTTTGTGTTTTTTTTTGTGATATATGGTACCGCTTTCTACGGTATACTTAAATAATTAGTTGTAACTCATCACTTTATCAATGCTAATAAATTATTTATTAAGCTATGAATCTTTTAAGCCATTGCGGTTTATAGAGCATTAATAATTTATTAGTATGGACAACTTTTAGATTGTAGGAATTATTCTGGGTAATGTACATCCTCCTTTAGTATAGCTTGCTTTGTCTTTTTACCTCTTTAATTGATCGTAACGACCCACAAACACTCTGAAAAAGAGCTGCAGGGAATTTGAATAAAAATCTATCTAATAACAAGTCCAGACTTAATGGCCATAAACATTTATTACTAGCATGAATGATAAATGATAAGTAAAAGATTATGGTCTGGATGTTCTGGTCCTGAATGAAGGGTCTTATCAATGAATTTGAGGTAGCTAAAAGACAAAGTATGTTCTATTGAAATATGATAAACACCAGCCAAAAGGTATTATTTTTTCACAACCTGGCAACCCCAAAGTTGTTTTTAGAAATGGTTTAAATGATTAATGCATCAATAAATCAAAAACCTGAATCAGCTTCTTGTATGTTTAAATGTGTTGACAGTTCTCAGTAGATCTCAATATGCTTTAACAGTGCAGAAAACAACTTCACACGATGATGAAGATACACACATACAGCTAAACAGAGATGTAACAGCTCTCTGAGCTGATTTGCTGCCTTGAGTCATGTCCTCTCTCTTCTTCCCACAGTCTGCCTCTGGGTGCACAACAGGGTTTGCGCCTGGCCCCTGGATCCTGGGCGAGGTCTTCATGCGGCAGTTCTACACCGTCTTCGACATCGGCAACAACAGGGTGGGCTTTGCTCAGGCTGTGTGAATACATGTGAAGAGCTGAGTCAGGTTAAAATGATATCAGCCATTTGTCAGAGGTTGTAGTCTGTGTCGCCCTAATAGAGCTAAAGAAAGTAACTGACTAATTGATTTTGACTAATAAAATAATACCTTTCAGACATTGAAATCATCATGGCTTTGTTCTAAACTCAAAGGCTTGTAAAGTCTTCCCAGAACAATCTGTAAAGGCGAGAGTCGACCCAAATGTTTCACTCCGATATGGATGTGTGTCCTGGCGGCCACTAGATGGCAGAGGACTCACTGAGCTGCACATTCAGTCAGTTCACCATTCATGTGATTCTCCTGGGAGGGGCCTGAGGAGAGGATGAGTCATCTCACTTAGAATTCAGTTTCTAAAACACAGAAGCAACTGCCAGTCAACGGGCGCTGCCTTACATTCAATGCCATCTGTGTCTGTGAGGTTCAGTGATGTGAGATTACCTTTAGGCTGCTGCATCTGTTCTAATTATAATCTGTAACGTAATATCCAACAGGGATGCTTCATACAGATCTTTTCTATTTAAACATGTGCATCAACACACCGATGAGCTGTCATTAACCCTCTCACATCACACACTTATTTTGCATTTTAATAATGAAACACTTTAATACTACGAATCCCGTGCTGCATTGTTTCAGTGCATTTTCCGAATGGTTAAATCCAGTTGAATACACCTGGCTGGTGTTGCATGCACTGTGGGTAAACATAGTAACATGAGACAGCAGCTTCTGAAGCAGGCAGCATGGACATCCCTGCAGACCTCTTCAATCATTCATCCTGCAGAGGATTTGTAGGGCAGCAGGTGAGGTTTCACACTGCAGCATCTGTCAGAAAGATGGACAAACTTCTTGACTAAAATTAATCCTATAAATAATGATTCTGCACACATCTGCTGCACTGTCACATAAAGAAATGTGATGTATGTTCCACCTGTTTATTGCTACAACTACCCAACACCAAGGTAACATTTTTTTTTAAACTGAAATCTGAGACCTAAATTGTCTGAGGTTAATATAGCACTGATCCAACCGGCTGCTCTGTCCAGGACATAAAGAGGCAGAGGAGAATGAATATAGGCCGGCGCGCTCACTCTGCTCAGGGAGATCCTGTGGTCAACAACCCAAATAAGGGTGAAAAGCCAGCAACACCGAATGTTGCCAGAAGAAAGTAAGTCTGAGGGACAGGTGCAATAAATACAACTCCTTACTCCACTGCTCTGTGTGGTTTTCCATTTCACCCTCAAGTGAATAAGGCTGTGTCAATAGTGTAAAATGGAAACTAAAGCTCCATGCTAACTTGGCTGACTGAAGCCTGATCTTAGCATAAACTGACAACAAGATCAGGTTTTCATCATACCTAGCAAATTTTGTTACCTTCTCAAGGAGCCAGGCTAGCTGTGTTCCCCTATTTCCAGTCTTTATGCTAAGCTAAGCTAACCGGCTGCTGGCTGTAGCTTTATTTTTAAAATACAAACATGAGAGTTGTATCAATCTACTCCATTTAATTCTCTGCAGAAATGCAAATCAGTGTATTTCCCAAACTGTTTTAATGTTGTAAGTTGTAAAGTTCTGTTACTGTAGCTCAGTTTGAAAGATTCAATGAATTCATCACCTTCCAGGAATATAACAGACATCATTCACTCTTTGTTGCATTATTATTTAGTAGTTTATGAAATACAGGAACAATACAACAATAGATAAGATGTAATACAGGAAATAATAACATACAATAAGTCCTTATACAGGATTGCATATATTGAAATATAAGTGGCTTCACACAGAAATGCAGTATGTAACATACTAATGACAATATAACTGTTCTGACTGTAAACACTGAACATGTAGGTTATTAATTCTCAGCATGTAACTCAGTCTTTGGTTAACTGTCAGAGGAACAAAAGATATATGTACAACATTAGCATACGGTAGACATGTGTCCCTTTTGAGATATAATTGAATAAAGTTCCTCAGAATGTAGCTACATTATGCTATTAGACTACGCTCACAATGTCATGACAATTTTCAATGCTATAATTCCTGTAGACATTTAATGACGGTGTTGATTCACCTAAATTATCTTGAAAAAGCACCATGAGAAGTGAAAGGATAAAAATAATAGTTATTTCAAAATAAAAGTACATTTACTGTACATTGCTACATTTATCATCTGTGACTCCTGTATTTTATTGTGTGTGATATGAGCACAATAATGAGCAGCCTGAATTTATTCGGTAAAAAATTATTATTCTATTAGTGTGAGTAATTATTTTTGTATTGTTATTATTATTAGTATTACTCTAACCAGCAACAGAGTGAATTTAAATTGTGAAAACTTAATTTTCAGACAGGACTCCAGTGGTTTATCCCGTATGGTGGTGACACCATTTAAGTTCTAATGGAAGCCTCTAAAATCAACAATTTGAAGGTATTTTAGTAATGTTAACAAAATTAAGACGTGTGTTTGAAAACTGTTTCCTCTAGATTTACATTTCAGCTGTCTTGGCTGCACTACTAGCTGCTATTTCTGACTATGTTTATGAGACCGCTGTCTGGCTGGCTGGCTGGCATTTGCTGATTTGTTCAGGGTTGGGCTCTAAGGCCCAGAAGCATTCAGTAGATGGTACTCGCTCTCAGTTGTTTCCCCTTGGGCTGATGCTTCCTGGCTGCCATTAACCATCCAATATGACAGGATGTTCATTTATTGTTTGATCTCACTGTCATATATCCTGTCTAAACTGGAATTGGCATTGCAATGTTATTTGAACATGATTTATTGATCCTTTCTAAACAGTTCAAACTGAAGAATTGGGGCTGAAATCTGCCATCAGAAGACACAACCTGCAGCAGCTGCACTGACAGTAGACAGTCGGGTGACTTGTGGAATGTTTATGCTTCAAATTAGCTTTAGCTTATTACAGTGCTTATTTTTCTGAACCAGAAACTGTGTGATATCTCTGCAGACCCAACTGGCAATGTTACTGTATCAATGAAGTCTATATCAGTAGAGCAGTTCTGGGACTCCCTGATGAGTCAGTACACAGGTGGTCTGAAAGAAACATCCTCTTTAAAGAGAAAGGCATAAATGCATATTAGGCCATAAAATGGTTAGAATAAGCAGATATGTTACGATCAGGTGATCAATATCTTTAAGAATTAGTCAGTTATTCCACGCTACTGGATCTCATCAATATTAAACATGTGTTTCTTAATGTAATTCAGTCACTTGGTGAAGTAACTGGCTGATCTTAAATTAATATTTCATGTTATATTAATAGTCAACTGTATTTATATTGATGAAAACAACTAGATATGAGTTTCAGTAATACTACAGTGTGTATGTGGTCATTAATGACTGATAATAAGACTGGATGTAGTCTGATAACCTTTTGTTAAAAGAATTACAGTAAAAGTTCAATGTTTCACAAGCTGGGTTGATGATTCTGTGATCATGCTGAATCCAAAATGACTTATAGACCTGCATACTGATTTAAAGATATTGTCAAAGCAGTATTTAAAAACACTAACAAGGTCAGTTACTGCAAACACACATATTATTACTTGAGCATTAAATCACACTCGAATATGAAATAATACAAATAGATAAAATTGCATAAGAGTAATCCTTACAGGATCATGTCTTGTAAAGGCAGTCAAAACCAAACAGGAATGTAAAACGTAGCATAAATATTAAACATCTTGCAGTAGTAGCTCTGCAAGCTCTGCATAAAGATAAGTGTCTCTTTCAAGCAGCAGCTTCTGTCCAACATCTTTAAAATGTCTAATCTTTGTAGTACCATCATCCCCAGTGCATAAAAAAGCTGGATAACTTTAAAGTGCAGCCTCAGGATATTCAGAAGCCAGCTAAGTTAAGGAAAAAAATGCTTTCATGCTGTTTGTTGTCTCTGAGCAATTAGTACTGAGAGTTGGTATCTTTTAATTTTCTGAGGGACTTAAAAATATGCAAAAATAATAATAATAATAAAAATTCAAACTCTTACATTGCATAGCAAATTCTTCCAGTCATAATAAGTTAAACTGACACTATTAAAAATAATAGGAACATTAATGGCAGTAATAACAATTTCATTCCTGTTTGACAACTGAAATAAATGCATTCATCAAAAATATTTAAGGTCAGAAATTATTTTAGCCACATTTCTAGGCATTACCAGAATGTTTTGGGGTATTTTAAAAGTTTTTATTTATCGAGCACTGATAATTTATTTTTACTGATAATTGATTTTATTATTTATTTTCTATCAGCAGTACATGCTACTGCAACAGTGTCACCAGCTGTGAGAGCCAACTAAAGCGTTAACTCGGTTTGGAAGATGCTAATTTTTTAATCTTGCACACATTCAAAACACACAAACCTCTGTGGAGGAGCCACGCGGGTGGAACCATCTCTGTCTTACCCCGCGGGCTGTACCTCTGACTTTTACACCACCATGGGGGTATCGGAGCACACAGAGCTGACAGACTCTGCGTCAGACCTCCTTCTCTCCCTGTTGTCCCCCTGCCACTCCTCGTCTTCCTCACCTATTGGGTTCAACCGCCCGTTCTGCTCCAGCAGGTCCTTGGGTTCCAGGAAGGCCACGTGTCTATATGGGAAGCCTCCGCCTTCCACTCTTTCTTGCCCTGTCTCATCATGTGAGATGCTAACAGTTGAAGAGTGGAGGCTGTCCTCGGGCTCGTTCTTCTCCAGGCCCTGACCCGGGCAACAAGCGCAGCGGCAGGGTGTGAAATAGAGGTAGATGATTACCATCACTACGCTGATCAGACATGCTACGAGGGTGGTGTAAGCCGTTTTTAGGTTCTCCAGTCCACCACTCGAGGTGGTATTTAACACTACTACAGTAACATACAGCGTCTCATTGAAGGAGTCGCTGGTGGCGTAGCAAGTGTAGACCCCTGAGTCCTCCACCTTCAGGGGGCCAATCTGGAGGCTGCCGTCTTTACGCATCTCAGCAGTCTTGTGTGCTGGAGGCAAGGGGATGTTTCCAGGCAGCGTCCAGTTCTTCATCATGTCCTTCTGCCTGGTGTCACAGTCCAGGACCAAGTACTTCTCCAGATAAGCTATTTCATCTGTAATTCTGACCTCACTGCAGTTCA